GACTGTCTCTGGCGGATCTCCCCTATCTTCCCGTTCAGGTAGCGTCCATCCGACAGCAAAACGCGGGCAGGTACCGACGTCCGCTCCTTGTCTTTGCACCATGACTCAGACCCTCACTGCAGGTTGCATGCCCAAGGCTGGCCGCAAAAAGTACTACGCGGTACGCCGTGGACGAGAAGGCCCAAAAGTATACGAAACATGGGAGGAGGTGAGTGTTAACTTATTGACGTGAATGCGATTTGTTGAAATATTTCTTAGTGTAAACTCAATGTATCTCGTTTCCCTGCCCCGGCGTACAAAAGTTTTGGTGCTCGGGCAAAGGCAGAAGCATGGATCAAGGTAATCAATGCCTCGGACCGTGAGTGCTGATTTTCCTATTGTTAGAAACACTGCACGATGTAACATTACAACAGCTATAGTCAATAGCAAGCCTCGACAGCCCACCTCGGGTTCCAAGTCTCATGCGAAGCCCCAACAGCCTCAATCCAATGCGCCTGCTCCGGTAGCTCCTGTTCAATATCCGCCAATACCTCAGACCGGCGATATTCGAGAAACAGAGTCAGATGTTCCTATAGAGCCGACAATCAAACTCTCGCTAGAACAGCAACAAGTTCTCAACAAAGTCAAGGCCGGCGAGAGTGTCTTCTTTACAGGTTCCGCAGGTACGGGTAAGTCAGTCTTGCTGCGCGAAATCATCAAGTCCTGTCGCGAAAGTGGCCGTCAAGTAGCTATCACTGCGTCTACGGGTATTGCTGCAGTCAACATCGGTGGCTCGACCGTGCATTCATGGGCAGGCATCGGACTTGGCAAGGAGCTCAAGGAGCAGCTTGCCATGAAGATTCTGGGACAGGACAAATGGAAGCGCATCAAGGACAAGGAGAGACACTGGGAGCAGGGGCTTCCTTCAGGGAACGAATATGACAGCGACGATGCGAGTCAGCCTAGAGTCGTTCAGCGATGGCGTAAGGTTCAGACACTGATTGTCGACGAGAGTAGGTTCACGTTCTCTCCCCGTTTTTCTGGTCAAACTTACATTCATGTCCTAGTTTCGATGGTTGATGGGAAACTGTTTGACAAGCTGGTTAGTGCGGTGTGTCTTTGCATGTATAAGTAAATTGAACGCTAGCACGCAGGAGTACGTCGCACGCGTACTGAGGCGTAATCCGAAGCCTTTTGGCGACATTCAAGTCGTTCTTTGTGGCGACTTCTGTCAACTTCCCCCGGTACCAGATAACAGCAAGGGTGCTTCCGTCCCATCTACGTTTGCATTCGACGCCGAAACCTGGGATACATGCGTGGGCAAACCTATTTGTCTGAAGAAGGTTTTCAGGCAGAAAGACCAAGGCGAGTATGCATAGCAATCCCCAAATTGTTAGTGCTGATAGGTAATATCCAGCTTTCGTTGATATGTTGAACGCCATGCGCTTCGGGCAGCTCTCACCCGAGATGGTGCAAACATTCAGGGGTCTGTCTCGAGAAATTGAATACACTGACGGCATCGAGCCGACGGAACTGTTCGTCCAAAGTTCTTGCGTTAGGGTGCCTGCTGACCGCTCTGCCCAGGTTCTCTACGCGGAATGAGGTTAGCCGCGCGAATAGCAGACGGCTTGAAGAGCTCAAGACTCCGTCACGCGCCTATAGAGCTTTGGATGTCCCGGGATGGGACGACGCTGGCCGTCCAGTGCAAGCTGAGGCCATGAAGAAACTGCTCGAGCGACTTGTCGCGCAGAAGGATATCACGCTCAAGGAAGGCGCGCAGGTGATGCTCATCAAGGTACCCGTTTTCTCACTTATTCCGTCTCAAAGCTCATCACTGCGCAGAACCTGGTACAAGGCCACCTAGTGAACGGCTCGATAGGCAAAGTTATTGGCTTCCTCACTACGCGGGACGCGGCCCAGCGTGGGATCAAGATTGGTCTGGCTGAAACGGCACAGAAGCCGCCGTCCACTGGCATCCTCGGCGGGAAGCGCATCAAGCCCCAAGGTCAGCCTGATGGGAACCCGATACCCGAGAGGGTCATGAAAAGCTTGCAGCTCTGGCCGATGGTGCGCTTCGGCCAGGGCTCAGTGCACGGTGGGGCAATCGAAGTGCTTTGCGTACCGAACCAGTTTGAGGTGAACAACGCGAATGGCGGCGTGGAGGCGATGCGCGAGCAGGTGCCGCTCATCCTGGCGTGGGCGCTGAGTATCCACAAAAGCCAGGGACAAACGCTCGAGCGTGTAAAGGTTGACCTACGGACCGTGTTCGAGAAGGGGCAAGGTGCGGAAGTCGACACTGCAATCCTCGTCGCCTGATGCTGAACGATGTTTGCAGCTTATGTTGCTCTGTCGCGTGCGACAAGTATGAAAACGCTCGAAGTGAGGAATTTCGATCCCACCAAGTACGCCTCTTTTTCTACCTAGTGCTATTGATATCGACGTAAGCTTATCCAGAGTCATGGCCCACGAACGCGTTCTCGAGTGGACGCGCGCGAACACGAATCTCAGTGTTCCCCCACCGCTTCGGCGCAATGACAGCGAAGACGAAATGAATTTCTGGTTGGACTAATGTGCACAGATATAAGTTATTTCACTGTATTTTAGGTGTCAAGTTGCAGATGGATCGCCAATTCCAAAGTATCACCTGCTGCAAACACTGTCGTGGCGTGAGAGGCAAATGATTGCCGGTGAACTCGCGCTTCGGCATGAATGCTTCAGCATAGACGCCACTCCTGGTGGTATGACTCCAGCAACACTAACCGGGATCAGCAGTTGATTCTCACGATGCCTTCCCCTGTCTGCAGGTGAACAGGGTCATGGACTCGGGGATGTGGACTTGCTACTCGCCCTCTCATTCTGCGCAGGGCGGCCACTTCCGTAGGCAGGAATGGCCGTGCAGTGGAACTACATCCAGTAAAGTGGCGTTCAGTGACACCCTCTACGCCTCTAGTAGTACCTGGTAGCAAACAGTGTGGGTTCGAACATACCAACTGCGGCAGCGCACATTACTATGGAAGTAAAGCGCATCAAGCTCGGTGAGTATAGTTATTACTTTATAGCTGTCTCTTATCTCAGCGGGAATAGAAGCGAATGGCGAGCAGGATAGACTCGCCAGTGCTGCCACATCTACATCACCCCCTATCCAAGAGGCACCTCACAATGCGAAGTCTGAGCTATCCCCCATCTCAGGTAAGTGTTTGTGCCATAATCATTCGTAGCAGCTCAATAAGACGTCCATGTAGACCCATCTACGTGCAGCACCTCCCCCGCCTTGTCACCAAATACGACCCGCTCTTCCCCCGACGATGTTAACCTGACGCCCGAACAAGAACAGGTTCTGACGAAAGCGAAGCAGGGACACAATGTTTTCTCTACTGGCTCGGCCGGTACTGGAAAATCCCTACTACTCCGTCGAATCATTCAGTACTTTGAAGCCGAGAGAAACATGAATAGGCGCGAACTTGTGGTGGCTGCTCCAACCGGGCGGGCGGCTATGAACATCGGGGGAGGTACGATTCATGCCTGGGCAGGAATCGGAATAGATACGGATTCGCCTATCGAAGATCTCCTTTGCAAGATTATGGGCTGGCGGAGATATTATGAGATGAGCAAGGAAGCCACCGATGCCTCCATGCAAACGGAAGACATTGGAGATCTGCCTACTAGTATGCAGCGATGGGTGCAGTGCAGGGTGCTAATCATAGATGAGAGTGAGTAGCAGTCGTACTTCTGCAGGCGCTTCTCTTATCACAGAATAATTTCCGTATAGTATCCATGATTAACGACAACCTCTATGACAAACTGGTGTGTGTTGTAGTCGGGCGTACTACGTGTATATCATAGGTGCGCTTACCTTCCATATATAGGAACGTATGGCCCGCTTCATACGTCGAAATGCTGCACCTTTTGGAGGCATCCAGGTGAGTACGCGTTACCGAACTGGACGGACAGGTACTGACGCCCAGGACTGCACAGCTAATTATGTCGGAGGACTTCTTACAGTTGCCACCTATTGTGAAAAGGCCCAATATTCCGCGATTCGCGTTCCAAAGCGACAGCTGGGGAGGGTGCATTAGCGAGCCAATTGTTTCGAGCCGGATTCACAGGCAACACGACCGAGGTGAAGACAGTGATGGCAGTATTTTCCTCCTAGTCTGATATCTATACAGCGTTCATTGACGTCTTAAACGACGTACGTTACGGAGAGGTGACGTCGAGTGTTGATTCCTTTATCCATGCGCACGCACAGCCCGTGAAATACGAGGACGGCTTCACTCCCACGGATCTGTGAGTTCATTCGCCACATGGGTAGCAATGATCAGCGCTGACTCTGAAGCTATCCTGAAAGCTGTGCGACGAGATATGAAGTTGACAGAAAGAACAGTGCCGAACTGGCGAAGATCAACGGTCCTTCTCGGATATTCTCGTCCGAAGACAGTTTCTATTGGGACATGGAGGACACTTTCACAGCGCCGAAAAAGCTCGAGCTCAAGGTCATTGGTTACTCCTCTTATCGTTGTGGTTGTGCGTTATTCAAGCTCTTATATGTGTACAGGTCAAGGCACACGTCATGCTTCTCCAGGTAGGCAGCCTGTATCTTTGAAGATATCGTCGTGTGCTCAAACAATTGATAGAATCTCGTACCAAACGTTCTCGTGAATGGCTCCCTTGGTGAAGTCATTGACTTCAGCACCTCAGCCAAGGTGCACGAGTCCCAACAGATAACTATCGGGGTTCCTTTCGCTCTCGCTAAACTGTCCCGCTCTTCCAGTTATGCCTATCAAAAGGACGAAGACGAGCTGAACATCTGGCTCACGGACCAGCGTTTATGGCCTGTGGTGCGCTTCAAGTGTGGCGACTCCAGGCGTGAGAGCGTCGATGTCCTGTGCGTCCCGCGCAGGTTTGTCGTGCGGAATCCCGATGGCTACATCTGCCGCGAACAAGTACGTTAGCAGCCTTTTTGTGTCCTCTTGCCAACGATCGCAATTTACGCGATAGGTACCGCTCACACTGGCGTACGCTCTGACCATCCACAAAGCGCAAGGACAGACGCTTGAACGCGTCCGAGTGGATCTAGGGAGAACTTTCGAGTTCGGCCAATGTAGGTCCCTAGATTTTCGGCATTCAAGTTACCAGCCCTGACTTCGTTTCACGCCACCAGGTTATGTTGCTCTTTCACGAGCCGTTAGCGCAGACTGTCTGGAGATCATTAACTGGACCAGATCGGCGTGAGTCCCCCATTCTCACATCTGCAGGCTGTCACATACAGTGTTTGGACCGTAGAGTCAAAGCTCATCCAGTCGCTGTCGAGTGGTACAATGCACTGAAAATGCCGCGGCGAACCGAAAACGGCCACTTTCAGAAATGAATTGACGATACTGTACTCGCACGACCAATCCGGCTGTCAGGTGTCAGACCGATTTACTGCTGACCTCGCCAATGATAATGTCTCGATTTATCGCGATTTTGGAGAGTTTTCGGAAAACTAATTTGGGCGCCTACTGGCCGGATTGGTCGTGCGAGTACAGTGGTCTTTGAAAGCCCAGCTCGTACAGAGTATCTGTTTCAGTTGTAGTTTGTAAGCCTCAATGTACAGTACATGACGTAGTTTTATATCCTTCACGCTATTTTCCATCGCGCCTGAGACTCGCAGTACACCCAACATTTGGACTCGCTCTCGACAGGGCATGGCCGAGGGCAGCTTG